GGAAAGGATGTGATACTATTCGATGGATAAATTAAGTCTAGTGACTCTCTCTTGTGTCAAAGTTCTGCTTAACACTTGTGAGATATGCAGAGCCATTTAAAGCGAGGGAGGTGTCACCTGTGCATGCATCAGATGGCCATAGCGTGTCATTGTTTACAAACAAGCATCTACCAATGAACCTTTGTGTTCTTAGCGTGTGTTGTTATCATCGCTTGGGACTCAATTCCCGCGCGTGTGCGGGTGACGACCCTCTCGCTTTAACGCATCGCCCGCCAACACCATTTTTCTCTTCCCCATTCATTTCCATTAACGTGGAGGCTTTCAGCAGGTGATGCATTAAGACTATTGCAATCGAAACACTGAGACTATAGAGATTCTCAATAACACGACTAAGTAGCAACAACACAGTATAATAACGACTTATCTATTCTATTAGAGACAGTGAGTACACTTACTCTTGTTTATCTTGAGAGCCATCACCCTCACCATCACTCTTAGCTTTTATCTGTCTCTTTCTTTTCTCCGTCTCGTACAAATCTTGATACTTTTTGGCATTTTCCTGCGTTCTTTTTAATTCCTCCTCCATCTCAGTTAGTCTCCTTTCAGCTGCAGCAAACAATAATAATAACAAATTATTATAGTGTTAACACTTCATTCTGTGATGTGTTTTTTTTCTCTGATTTTCCAGAAAATACCACACTGTCCTTGGATACTTTGCAATTTGTTAATTTTACTGTGGACTGTGAGAATGCGTTTAGTAAAGTTGTCACACAGCATTTCCCCCTCACTCAATTCAAAAATTGGAAATTCACAACATTTTACTATTATTGTTCTCTTGTAATGTTTAAAATAATTCATGTACATCCAACAACAGTCATTATATTCACAGTGACTCTTCACGTTTTTGATTTACCGGAGGCCACAGTAGCGATTCTGGCCAAATCCTCGAATATCCTCACAATTCGTACATATTCATACCATAAATATGTCACGTAACATTGTAATAGTCCTAAGACAAAGCTTTATGAATTCTATCTCTGAGGGCATCTTCAAAGTAATCTACCCTATGAAAAGATTGTTTGGAGATAAAAATGAAAATGACATACTAGGTAATTTTTATACATTACAGCACAGTTGAAGCATAAATAAAGCTACCGTAGCTTATCTTGCTTTCAAAACCACTATATAATTACATATGTCTCAAATAAACAGAGAAATTTGCCCAAGTTTGACTCATATTAGGATAACATACTGTAAAACATGTTGAAAAAGCGGTATGCAATTTTAGCGAATTGTGGTAAAATTACATAATAGCGAAATGTTGATTTAGCGAATCTCTCTTGTCATTGCTGATTTCTTTGATTGGCGGCCATTTTGAATTGATAATAAAGTCATTAGCGAAATCTTGAATTAGCGAATCAGTTCTCTCGCTAAATTCGCGAAAAAGACATGCTCGCGAAAAAGACATGTTTTACAGTAGGTACCGGGTAAATAAAATATTGATGACAATGGTGTTCACCTTAAAAAAAATTATGTATTATGTGAAAAAGGAGTGAATTTTGATGTGTCACCAGGTGTAATGTTAAATATGTTACACAGCATTACATCATTAGATGTTAATATTTACAATATGTTGATTAATCTTGAACATGCACAAGAGCGATGATTTCAAAATTGCTACACAATTTTTGTTAAACCTGATTGACCGTTAATTCACTCGGTGTTGTAGTACGACACCAGAGTAATTTTTTACTGCTATAAAATTTTGTGATTTTCAATTGAACATGTGAAATTTAATATTCACGTGGTATATTTCACTCACAAAATCCAAGAAGTTTACAGAATTTGATTGATGAAATTTGAAAAGACATCGACTTACGCAAGAAATTTATGCAGCATATTACACAGCCATCATGTCGTGAACAAGTGAAATAAGCGGCACTCCGGTATAATGCTCATTATGAATATTGTCACTCAACATTATCTAATGCTATTGCTTATTTATGAGGATATACCGGTACAATTCATAA